TGACATGTGGGATGAGTGGTGGCAGTGATCACACAATAGGAGCACTCATTGCAACACTAATTGTCTCACAAATGACAAGAAATTGTCGTTTAAATGATTACTAAAATGGAGGTGTCTTTCAGTGACCATCGGGGGAGTCAGTGCCCAACACCCGTCCCATTCATTTGCACACACAGTATAGGCTCAACACATAGACAGCGCAGGGGTTGGACTCACTTTGGGTTCAATATAACAATTTGCTCGCAAATAAAGTTATGTCAAGAAATGTCTTAAAACAGTCCAACACCTGATTGGCTACAAGTTTTCAGTGACCCCGATATCAGTCACTTCACAGTATATTATAGTAATAATGAACTCTGGTTGAGGTGCACACAAAGTATGTCCGTTTCAATTTGAAAATCACTATTCAAATGAAATGAAATGCAAACACAAAAACGAGACATACTTTGTGTGCACCTCAACCACAGTTCATTGATACTCCACAGACACTGCCATCTCTTACCTCATATGCGAGTCATATGTCATATGTGATGGTATGACATGTGAACACATGTTTGAATGACAACAACAATATTGACATCAAATGCGAGACAATGTTTGAAGTGTCAGTCCATGTGATTACCATTGGTGTGACACTTATTATATCACTCATCGCTTATATGATTATGAGATGCATTTGTTTCAAACGTGATCACCACATGAGAAGTGCTTCTTTAGTGTCAACGATGGCAGTGATGGGCAGTGGAGGACACACTCAAGAGATGATTACATTGTTGTCTCATCTGAACATTGGATCCATTAACGGAAAGTATAGTCCAATCACTTTAATCGCTTCCAAAGACGATCACTTGAGTGTGAATAAAGTAAAACAAATGACACAATCGTTAAGTGACTGCCAATTGGTTTCAATAACAAGAAGTCGTTCAGTGGGTCAGAGCTATTGGACATCAGTGGTGACGACAATGATATCAATGATGGAGTCGTTGGTCATTGTGTGGAGAGTGCGGCCTAAACTGGTTGTGTGTAACGGACCGGGAGTTTGTGTTCCCATTTGTTTGGTCGCAAAACTGCTCGTAAGAGATGTTTGTATTATATTTGTTGAGAGCTTTTGCAGAACAGAATCGCTGTCTCTCTCCGGAAGAATACTCTATTGTTGTCGGATTTGTGACCACTTTCTGGTCCAATGGCCACAACTCACTCATCGCTACAATAGAGCCAAATATATCGGACTTTTGGTTTAATTCATATTCAAATCATTTGAATGTTCAAAACAATCAAAATTATATT